TAGTCGTTCCACCAGGTATTTCCAAGACATCCAAACCTTCTATATTTAGTGCTTTGATTACATCGTCACGAATATGACTATTATGACGATCAACAAAAATTATACCCTTATTTTTGAAAAATCCATTAGGTCTTGCTCGAATAACTCGTGGAATATATGTGGAAATCATTAAATCTCCTATCATATTAGCATAAGGTGCTGTTGTTACTACAATATCTCGAGGAAATTTGCCTTTAGGATTTTTTTTTAATTTGAAAATTATGGCAGGTGGAAGTTTGTCTCCAGAAGCTGTATAGCCTAAAACCACAGTAAATCGTGTTTTGTCACTTCCTGTAGTTTTAATTGGAACTTCACGAGTACCTTGAAATTCAAGTGTTGAATTTCGAGGCATGTCAAACCACATTGGAGTTTCATCAAAAGAAATAATAAATTTTTTTTCTATATTTATAGTCTTTTCACGTGTCTTTTTAAGAAAGTTTCTAACAACTAAAGGTATATCTTCAGGAAATTTTTGTGCAATTTGTGTACGAGTACGTTCTACTAGATTGTGTCGATTTTTAAAACGTACAATCCAACCATGTGAAAATTGAGCATCTTCAATGTTGAAAGTTTTGCTTAATTCTTTGGCTTTTTTTTTGATCATAGATGTTGTAACTGCATTTTTTTCCTCTCGTTTTTTTCTGATATAATCTAATAATTCTTCTTCTAATGTAGGATACATAGCTTTCCGGCCACGACCTTTAAGAACTCGTGCTTGACCTTTATTTTTTATGATTTCGAACTCAGTTTTTTTTTTTCTCCACTCTTGAACCCGTTTTCGATCAACATTATAAAAGCGTGATGCATGACGATTAGAAGTGTTTTCTGCATATCCTATTACTTCAAGTTTAAATGCAATAGTATAGCTTCTGTTTTTGCGGCGAATAAGGTCATCCATGTTTGTTTGTAAAACAAAAAATTTATTTACAAAATACGTAAGTAATCTAACTTTAAATATATAAAGATTTG